GATTTACTTGCGTATATGTTTAAAAACATTGAAGCTATGACGATTTGCAGCGTAATTATTTGATTGTTCTTTTATATATTTTTTTTATTTGTATGGGAGCTATATGATATAGTCGTCCGATTTTGATGAAATTTAAACCATAATTCTGAAATATTTAACCATTGCTATATGTCGAAGAACTAAAAAAAAATTCAAAAACAGCAAAGTTATAATTTTTTTTCAATTATTTTTCCGATTGTTCCTATGGGAGCTATATGCTATAGTCGTCCGATTTTGATGAAATTTTAACCATAATTCTGAAATATTTAACCATTGCTGTATGTCGAAGAACTAAACAAAAAATTAAAAAACAGCAAAGTTACAATTTTTTTCCAATCATTTTTCCGATTGTTCCTATGGGAGCTATATGCTATAGTCGTCCGATTTTGATGAAATTTTAAACATAATTCTGAAATATTTAACCATTGCTTTATGTCGAAGAACAAAACAAAAAATTAAAAAACAGCAAAGTTATAATTTTTTTTCAATTATTTTTCCGATTGTTCCTATGGGAGCTATATTCTATAGTCGTCCGATTTTGATGAAAGTTAAACCATAATTCTGAAATATTTAACCATTGCTATATGTCGAAGAACTAAACAAAAAATTTAAAAACAGCAAAGTTATAATTTTTTTTCAATTATTTTTCCGATTGTTCCTATGGGAGCTATATGCTATAGTCGTCCGATCCGGCTCGTTCCGACTTATATACTACCTGCAATAGAAAGACAACTTTTAGGAAAGTTTCATGCAGATAGCTTTAAAACTGAGAGACTAGTTTGCATATAAACGGACGGACAGACGGACAGACGGACAGACGGACATGGCTAGATCGACTCTACTAGTGATGCTGATCAAGAATATATATACTTTATAGGGTCGGAAACGTCTCCTTCACTGCGTTGCAAACTTCTGACTGAAATTATAATACCCTCTGCAAGGGTATAAATATGGGAATTATAATGTTTTAGGAAAACTAAACTTTACAAAGTTTGTCGGGAGCAGTCAATTGCGTAGCTTGATTTCTGTCTTATCTTCACATGATCATTAGTTCTTCGCTCGCTGTCGACTTGCATAGACGTCTGTGCCAAATAAACGCTCCTTAATCTTTTTCTTTCTCGTTATTAAAACCGTGCCGTTTCGTTGAACAATTGCTTAAAAGGTAGCATAAAGTAATGCCTCCTCAAAACAAAGTTAAAAATACAATTAAGTATATGCATATGAAATAATAAAATAAAAATAAAAATGAAGGTCAAAATTTTGGAAGCAAAACCAATTGGTTTAACTCCCGGAATTAATTTTTTTTTTGGTTTCTTTATTTTTAGCTGTAATTATTTTTCACTTTTTTAATTTAATTGATTCTATAAAAATTTAATTTTTTTTAGTATAAAATCTAAAGTTTTAGTTTGGTGGATTATTTACATTCCTTTTGGTAGTCGCAACTAACAAATGGAGTTGCAACCTGCAATTAAACAGCGGACAATAAAAACGGAACTTCTCTAATCCCTAATTCCCTAAACACTTTAAAAACACTATGGATTCGATTTAAGCTGAATGAGAATGCTTGCCGCGCGATCGATTGAGTTTCTAGGTCATAAGATCGATGAGCAGGGCATTCGAAAATCAAACAAGAAAGGAAGACAATTTCGGCAAGTCTTAGTTTTAAGCCCTTGCAGCTTTTTAAAAATTTAAATATTCTGTAAACAACTTTGTTACGATTGTTATTCTGAAATATTAAACAATTATATAATAAACAATTCTATAAGTTATAATATTTTTTCATTTATTTTTTCGATTGTTCCTATGAGACATGATATAGTCGTCCTCTCCGGCTCGTTCCGACTTATATACTACCTGCAATAGAAAGACAACTTTTGGGAAAGTTTCATGCAGATAGCTTTAGAACTGAGAGACTTGTTTGCTAAGAAACGGACGGACGGACATACAGACGGACGGACGGACAGACAGGCGGACGACATGGCTGATAAAGAATATATATTTACTCTTTAGGGTCGGAAACGTCTCCTTCACTGCGTTGCAAACTTCTGACTGAAATTATAATTCCCTCTGCAAGGGTATACAAATATGTAGACAACAATTATTAATTATAAAAGCGAAAGAGGCTGAAGAAATACCAGAAATAACACAAACCGAAACCGAACCAAAAACAAAAAAAAAACAACTGCATTAGCGCAGCCACACAGTTGATTGCCGAAATGTACAGATTTGGACATCGAGAAAGAGAGAGAACGAAAATGACACTAGAAGGTCTAAGTATACAATAGAAAGGTAAACGCAATATCACACAAATATAAAGGTGGAAAAACAATCTTTGACAAACATAAAAAGCTTGACGATTTTAACACTAGACACACTGAGAAGTTGGTGCAATATTTGGATAGAAATGACGACACTGCACAGTGGTGCCGCCCTCATCAATTCTTTTTGAATCCGTGTACACAATTTGTCTTTAAAATGTTCATTTCCGAGGCACAGCTGTTCTTTGCTCAAAATATTTCGAAGCAAAGTGTATTTTTCAAATTGGTCTGCTTGTTGTTTAAGTTCATAACTTAAAATTATTTTTAATGAATTTTAAAGCTTTAATAATAACTTAAACTTGTGTAATAAATGCAAACTAGGTTGATTTGTGTTTTTGTGAAAATAAATGTTTTAACCTAGATTTTTGTACCACTAATGTACGTCATTAATTTGTTCACTTCACAATTACTTGTGTTCCCCCAAATTCACCCTTATGTTTATCTGCGGAAAGTGACTGATCTTTTTATAATCGATAATATACTAACAAGCCTTCTCATTTTTAAAGGTCAAATATGACAATGAAAGCCTCTGTGTCGTCTGTATTTTATGTTATGATTTTGTCTTTGTCTTTCGTGATTGTTTACAGTTTTCAATATTTCTTAATATATTTGCATTTTTCGTTTTCTCAATGGCGATTCATATCAGTGTGCGTTTTCTCGACTACATATTTTCAATTTGTGGTGCATAATGGCTGTTGTATGGCTGTGTAAGTTTGACTTTGTTAAATTGGTTTACAACACTAGTTTTCAATATGAAAATAAAATACCCCCAAGCCAAAAATAAAAAATTTCTTGTAGAGTACGATTTCTAGATATCTCTGGGACAGTTTTTTTTTTTTTTTAAGATTTTTTGAAGTTTTTGTCGGCTGTCTTTTAAAGTTTTATTTTATATCTCGAGTTGTGGCCAACCGCTAATACTATCCTACATTTCTGCACCACATCTGTAAAACAAACCACAACAAACAAAAAACAATACCAAAAACTAAACATGTTTTCTGAAAAATCTAGCGAAAACTTGTACTACAAATATAAATTCATAAAATACCCTTTGAATTAATTTTTTTTTTTATTTATTACCTCAAGTCGGGCTTAATTTCTTTTTTAAGCCATTTTTTTTTTTATTAAAAGTTATCGCAATTTGCTGTAATCTGGCATGTGCACATTGCAATCAAACCTGTGATATTTTAAGTACAATGTGCAAGTCATTAAGAATATATTATGTATAGGCGAAATCTCTATCGTATGAACCAGCAAAACGGGTCTGGGTGCAGTGCTATCACACCGTGATATGAAAGGAACGTCTGTGAATTCTTTACCGCATGGCAAATTACGCCGACTATTTAAGTAACTTGAACTTCGATGTGACATGACATTTCTCGTCAAATGATAACTGCGACGTAGAGCCCGACGTATTTGACAGCATCCAGCTCAGGACACTGGAAAAGACGAAAGCGGTCAGTGTTCCAGGCGAGCCGGATATAAGGACTCGGAATATCACCACTTAATTTCATCTGGTTGCCCAGTTTTGAACACATTGATAGCATTGCCCTCCTATTTACTTTACTTTACTTACTAGGATATTCATATTTTGTTCAAGTTTTTGGAGAAACTTAAGCCAAGAGTTTGTGTACATATCGCTTAAAATAATTCTTGCAAAAGCTTTTTTTCATGTTTTACGTAAGGTCACTACTGTTCGTTCCCATATCATTAACAATGATTTCGTATACGTTGGGCTTAAAAGCTTTAGTTAGAAATGCCTTAGCAAATATATTTGATCTTTTCCTGCGCAGGAATTTTTCTGCTAACTTTTATTTCTGGAAGGGACGGTTTTGGAAGTGACGGTTTTTTTGTAATTCTCAACTCAACTATGTGGTTGTTTATTCAATTAAGATATTCTGCAGTAAAACATATTCTTTCAAGTCAAGTCTCGTTCGTGGTAATATACGCTAGTTATCTATGGTCGACTTTAACTGTAAAGTGTTTGCCATAAATGTATGGACGGAAATGATTTATTGCCCAATGGATTGCTGCTAATTCTTGTTCTGGGGTACATTTGTTACTTTCTCCATTTATAAATGATCTAGATGCTACTGATAGCTGTGTTCCACTATAATCTTGAATTAAAACAGCTCCACAAGCTTGTCTGCATGCACCTGTTGTTATTCTAAATTCTTTATTAAAATCAAGATACTGTTGAAACGTGAAAAGATTTTTGACATTTTTGACAAAAGTTTTTTGACATTCATCTGTCCATTCTAATCTAGTTATGAGTAATCGGAGATATAAATAAAACGTCTGCAGTAATTACAAAATGCAACAAATCTTGCGCTGTGTGCATTCGTTGGGACTGAGTATTTTTCTGTTAACAGGTTCTGGGCATAACGTTGTTCACAATGACGGATGCGTAAATGACGAAGCAACATTCGACGCGTTTTTTTCGAAACAAGAATGCAACTAAATTAGGTAGGGTGGGCTAACATTCTGGCCTCTAGTCCCAGTATGTTGAATTTTAGCAATTTTTACTTCCCTATAATCTGATCGAACCAATTAATTTCTGGTGCACATTATAACTACATTGTGCATTATAACTACATCACACATTGCGCAACACAATGCAGTGACTGCTTTGAATGTTAATCTTACCTGTTTTCTTGAGTTTCCTGATGTAAGTTGGGAAAGATCTAAATTATCGTTAACGTTGAAATGTGCTCTAACGTCGATAAAAAGTTGAGCAGCTCTTTTATTTAAAACACGTTCTTCAAATTGTTCATCGGTTTCATTTTCCATCTGTTCGTCACTGTGATTCTGCAAAACATGTAAACAAAAATTGTTCTTAATTTCTTCATTCGCACAAATTAGGGACCTTAACGGTAAAAAAAGGATATTTCATATTTAGCGTTTATTTTTAAAGGGTTTTAATGGTTAACAAAAAAAAAATTACTTTCGTGGTTCTGTTTTTATTTTTATATTTTTTTTATTTATATTTTTATTTTGTATTATTTATTGTCACTTTAATTATCTTAAAACAAGAAAGAAAGCAAACTTCGGCAAGCCGAAGTTCATATACCTTTGCAGCTTTTGCATGAATTAAATACTTTTGAAAACACTTAAATTATGATTTACTTGAGTATATGCTGAAAAATATTGAAACTATGATGATTTGCAGCTCAATTATTAGATAGTTATTTTATATATTTTTATTATTTCTAAAGGAGCTATTTCCGATTTTGATAAAATTAAAACCATAATTCTGAAATAATTAAACATTGCTATATGTCGAAGAACTAAACAAAAAATTAAAAAACATTTATTTTTCCGATTGTTCCTATGGGAGCTATATGATATAGTCGTCCGATTTTATGAAATTTAAACCGTAAATCGGAAATATTTTACCATTACTATATGTCGAAGAACTAAATAAAAAATTAAAAAACAGCAAAGTTATAATTTTTTTCATTTATTTTTCCGATTGTTCCTACGGGAGCTATATGCTATAGTCGTCCGATCCGGCTCGTTTCGACTTATATACTACCTGCAATAGAAAGACAACTTTTGGGAAAGTTTCATGCAGATAGCTTTAAAACTGAGAGACTAGTTTGCATATAAATGGACGGACAGACGGACGGACAGACGGACATGGCTAGATCGACTCTACTAGTAATGCTGATCAAGAATACTTTATAGGGTCGGAAACGTCTCCTTCACTGCGTTGCAAACTTCTGACCTCTGCAAGGGTATAAAAATGTTCATCCAAAAATAACGACACATAGGGTCGTGGCAGCCAGTCCTCGACGTCCCTTTGGAAAAAGTGGTTTGCGGTGACCGTCATAGGGCAAAATCCAACACACCGGCATTTATATAATAGATATAAATATATATACATATGTATATATTACATTTTCTTTGTGTACGATAAATATCGTACACTCTAAAATATTTCAATGTTACAAATTTAAACAAGTCTGGTGTCGTTATAAAAATTAGACTTCTACAGATAAAAAAATAACAGAAATAACCTTCGTAAAATGCTATTTTTTTGTAAGCCAGAGACCCGGCCCCGCATAGAAATTTCTTGTTTAAAGGCATTCTTTAAGCAAAGCTCAGAGCTGTAGCTGTAGACCACGTAAGAATTCGTTCTTATTAATTCTTAAACAGGCAAGCCGAAGTTTCATATACCCTTGCAGCCATTGCAAGAATTTTATTAATTGAATTTTTGAAAACATTAAAATTATGATTTACTTGCGTATATGTTTAAAAACATTGAAGCAATGATGATTTGCAGCTCAATTATTAGATAGTTAATTTATATATTCTGCAACATTTAACCATTTCTATATGTCGAAGAACTAATAAAAAAATTAAAAAACAGCAAAGTTTCCGATTGTTTCTATGGGAGCTTTATGATATAGTCGTCCGATTTTGATGAAATTTAAACCGTAATCCTGAAATATTTTACCATTACCATATGTCGACGAACTAATAAAAAATAAAAAAACAGCAAAGTTCTAGATCGACTAGCCTAGTGATGCTGATCAAGAATATATATACTTTATAGGGTCGGAGATGTCTCTTTCACTGCGTTGCAAACTTCTGGCTGAAATTATACTCTCTGCAAGGGTATAATAAACACCACATTGGAGCCGGGCACTTCTAAGAAACCCGAAACAAATTGCGATAAGGCACCGGGACCACGTAATCAATAAAAATATAAGAATTTTTTTTACACATAAACTGTAAAATATTTACAATCGTTAAAATTCGTGACCGAATATGTGCACATAAAACGCTGATAAGGCACCGGGCTACGTGCTGAAATACAATTTTTTCTCTCTTTTCCCTTTACTTGAGCTTAAACTGCCGCATCAGCAGTTTTCGCTTGATGTGGCTTTGCGAGCAAATAAGTATCTCCAACTGTACACTAAGCGGGAAATTGGATTCAAACAATTACGTCATTATCCCTCGATCGAAAATATTCCCCTCTTTCTTTTAGTTGCCATGTGTCCACCTGCCTATAAATTATATCCCCAAATTTTAAACAAATTACTAACTCTATATATGTATACATAACAGTCAACACTAAGAAAAACGACACCGGAACTGGATACCAACGAGAAAACACACAACAACTAGTTGCAACAAGTAACATCTACACAAATACTAAACATATTAATAATAAGATATAAACATTTTACATTACAGTTGCATATTAAAATAACATCTTTATAACATAAGGAAGGTAACTAAATGTTAGAAAAAAGTTAGCGCAGCTAGTAGAAGAATAGGTTAAAGAAGTAAGGGTAGTTTGCCAGACCTAAGTGAACTTGAAGAAGAACAGCAGCACGACCAAATAAATCAATCTTCTAACCCCATCATGAATCATTCACTCTGGTAACGCATCGGTTTCCATCAGACCTACAGTTAGCAACTCGTTGTTATTCTTCGCAATAGCAAAATTGAGAGGCCAACTGGTATCATTGACTTACGACTCAAGCCGAGGTGACCAGAACACCTCGGAAAAACACGCCCGTTATTCCGACATCTGCCTCAATGCATTTATAGTCGGATTAAACGGTCCACTAAAAACAATAATTAGATCCCGAAATTCGTAATCTATAGAAAAGGCTTACGAATTGGCACAAATAGAACAGAATTTTTATTACCAAAACTCTAACGGTCAACAGAATAATCGTTACCGCGAGAACACTAAAAGAAGACAGTCGTTCATCTAGAACCCAAAACCCATTCCGGGGTAATTGAAGATCAAACGACAATACCCCTACTGCTTCCTGCAACATCAACGATGGTGCAATTTTTGTACAAGAAGCCTCGGACAACCAGTCGGAAAATATTTACCTTATGTATTTTTGACTTCAAAATTTCTTACAACTAACCCACACAAATTTATTATAGATACCGGATCGACTTACTCTTTTACTCTAGTTTCACAAGACCAGATTTAAAAACTAAACACTCCTATTAGCATTCCTACCGTTCTCAACAAATTCCAAATTCAAGAATGTACAGACTCAGTTATCTTCCAACAATTCGATTCAACAAAAGAACCAAAATTCTTTTTATTTTACTTTCACCCACATTTTAATGGTCTCTTGGGCATGGACTTTTTAAGTACCTTAGATGCAAAAATAAACATAGCGGACTCTGTTCTAGAGATGAAAAAGGCTTCTTTATCAATCCTAACAAGCACAAATCCGGTAGACACAACACATACCGTACCACAAAACACGAAGATCAGATTGTCAATCCCTGTAAACATAATGGAAGGGGATTTCTTATTCGAAACCACAGCCCTAAACAATGACTTATCAATCACGGGGGGTCTATATACTGCACTGGATGGCTTTGCACAATTCAAAGTTTATAATGAGAATAACTAACTGACGTTTTCGAATGTTGTCACACAAAATCTTACAGATAGCCTTTCGTACACAAGGAAGAAGTTCGGAAGCAAATTTCAAAGATGCTTCAACAGAATATTAACAGAAATAGCCATTCCCCTTGGAGCGCACATGTATGGGTCGTGCCTAAGAAAACCGATTCGTTCGGTCAGAAAAAGTGGCAAACGAAAAAACAATTTCAGATAGGTACCCAATCCCTAATATAAATATTTTACAACAATCAATCTGACTAGTGGTTTTCATCACATTGAGATGGATCCACGTGATGCAAACAAAACGGCGTTTACTGTCGAAAACGGACATTACGAATTCACAAGGATGCCTTTCGGTCTAAAGAACGCACCTGCGTAATTCCAGCGCCTTATGGACAACGTCCTGGGAGATCTAATAGGGAAAGTTTTCCTTGTATATCTTGACGATATTATTATATTTTCTCCTTCACTACAAAACCACTTAACAGACATTAAATCTGTATTCACTAAATTACAAACAGCAAGTAACCTGAAAATACAACCTGCAAAGTGCAATTTTCTAAGAAAAGAAATTGACTTTTTAGGACACATTGTTACACAAGAAGGAGTGAAACCTAACCCCAACAAAATTCAAGCAATTAAGAATTTCCCTTGCTTAAAAACTGTTAGGGAAATTAAGTCTTTCTTGGGCTTATTGGGTTATTACAGGAAGTTAATTAAAGACTTAGCTGGAATAACCAAACCTTTAACTAGACAACTGAAAGGAAAAAAATCAATAGTGATAGACGAAGAATTAAAGGAAGCGGTAGCCTATTCTAAAAATCTTTTGTGTAATGACCCGATTCTAGCTTACCCCGATTTCTCGAAACCGTTCACCCTGACCACAGACACGAGTAACTACGCCATAGGCGCAATATTATCTCAAGGACCAAACACCAACGATAGGCCTATTTCATTTGCCAGTAGAACACTATCTGACACCGAAGTTAGATATTCAACAATAGAAAAAGATGTTTGCGATCGTTTGGTCTGTAGGACACTTTAGAACCTACTTTTTTCGGGCGCCGATTCAAAATAGTAACTGACCACAAGCCGCTAGTCTGACTGGAAAATCTTAAGGGCCAAAGCCCAAAATTACTTTGGTGGAAAACCACCCTAGCCGCCTAAGACTTCGAAGTAGTCTAAAAAAGGGATCTCAGAATGTCGTCTCTGATGCACTCAGCAGAATAGAAACCAATCTAAATGTAAATGAAAATCCAGGAAGAATAACAGTTGTTCAGAAACCACAGAACTATTTTAACATCCAAACAATCTTTCAAATCGGTCAATCAATCACAGTACAATTAATTACTCTATTTCCCCATAAGATAAGACGCATATTTTCGGAACCGGAGTACACATTTGACGCAATCTTAAA